TGAGCAAGAACTTGAAGTGCTCACAGAACAAGGACACATCTTGGGCTGGAGTCAAGTGTACAGGAAGAGCAGGGTTGATGAGAAGTAGGGAAGTCTACCTCTTCATAAAGAGTATTATTTGTAATATAGTGAGAAGCCACTGAAGGTTTTAAATAGGGAAGTGACATGACCTGATTTGCTGTTCATGAACATCGCTCTTTGGTTGCTGTGTCAAGAAAGAACTAATGGGCAGCCAGACCAGTGGGGAGGCATTTGGGAAGTGCTGTAGGGGATGGTGGAGGTTGGGTTGTGGTGATGGCTGCAGAGATAGAGAAGTGGTTCCACTGAAAGCAGATCTTGGAGAAAGAATCAACACACTCACTAATGGATTGGTTTTAAGTGGTATGGGAAAGGGAGGAATCAAGGAGCACTCTAAAGTCATATTGTTGGTACTGAGATAGGAAGACTATGGGAGGAATGGGCTTTAGACACAATTAAGTGGGAGACGCTTACTGGTTGTGCAAATTGGAGACATCAAGTTTAGGTATAAGGCTCTGCAATAGAGCTGCACATGAATGTCACCAGCATGTAAGCGACCTTTAAAACTACAGGCAGGGTGAGACCACCTAAAAAAGATTCTAGCAAATTTTTTCTCCAAAGTGCCAGACAACAGGCCATATGGTCTCTCTTGAAACTTCTCAGTTCTGCCATTGGAGCACAAAAGCAACCACAGACTGTATGCAAACAAATGAGCATGGCTACATTCCAATAAAACTTTATTATTATAAAACAGGCGATGGGCCATATTTGGCACACAGGCCAGTTTGCAGACTCTGACCTAGAGTGAAGATGCGATTGAGAAGAGCAAGTTCACTCAAGGCAGGACCTAAGGCCCTCTGTGTAATAATCGTTATGTGCATGGATTGCAACACCTGCTACACCAGTCACTGTTGCAGGACTTTACTTACACAAAGCTCCTAATCGTCACAATAAGATGGGGATTCCCATTTTATCAACAAAGAAACTATAATATAATAAGTTTCTTTTTTCTCTTGAAAAAAAAAAAACCCAGAGGTTGTTGGTAGTCTAGGCGGCTGTGAACGTCAGCAGCCTAAGACTCCTGCTAGCTCATTCACCCACCATCCCTAGAGTATGGTCCTCACCCTCATGAACCAAAATAGTGAATGGGGCTCCAGCCATCATATTCACATTGCCGGTTAGACAGAGCAAAGGAGAAGTAAATGGCAGGTACCAGTTGTCTTTTAAGCTGTCTTTTCAGTTTCCCAGGAACTACCTTATACTACTTCCTCTATTATAACCCATTGGCTGGAATTAATCACACAGACACATCTAGATGTAAGGAAGACTGGAAAATATAGTTTCTTCTAAGGGGCCATGTGCCCAACTGAAACTTTCAGTGTCTACTACTAAATCAGAAAGTGAGAATGATCATTACAGTAGAAGTTAGACGTCTCTGACCAGTTGCCTGAAGTCATCCTTATGTACCTTTTGCAAGTGTATTGGATACCTCTCTCCCTCAGTCATTTCTGCTCAGTCGTCTCATTTCTCAGACCTCCAGTGCTAAAGTCTTACATACTCTTCAAAAGCCAACTCAAGGTCACCTTTTCTGTTCCTGGCAAACCAGGCTGATGCTTTCTAAGTCCCCACACCCAGTTAATCATACTTCCTTGTATATTTTTTTTCCTGGTGTGTCTCCTTGAACTGGCTAGGTGACTCAAGGAAGATGAAGTCAGGTTGAGGTAAGAAGGATAAATTTTTGTTTTGTTTTTTGATGAGCCTGGGCTTTGAACTCAGGGCTTCGTGCTCGCAAAGCAGGCACTCTGCCATTTGAGTCACACCTCCAGTCCAAGAAGGGTAAATTGTTAAGAACTAAAGGAAATACACAGTGAAACTGCAAATGAAGAAAAGGAATAAGATTGCTGGATGACCTGGTCCATGGTGAAGGGGTTGGGATCAGTAGAACAGGGGTTCTCAAATTTTTCTGCTTAGCCAGGCGTTGGTGGATCATGCCTACAATCCTAGTTTCTCAGGAGGCTGAGATCAGGAAGATCATGGCTCGAAACCACCCTGGACAAACAGTTTGAGAGACCCTGTCTCAAAAAAACCCTTAACAAAAAAAGGGCTTGTAAAGTGGCTCAAGGTGTAGGCCCTGAGTTCAAACCCCAGTGATGCAAAAAAAAAAAAAAATGCTGCTTATGCAAGTAACTTGGGGAGCTTTAAATTTTTTTCTGATTATGACACATATGTATCAGTATTTCTTTTTAAAGTTTTTCAGGTATTTTGAATATAGTTGAAAATAAAGGAAAACAGAGATGTGAGAGAGACACTTTTCCTCCTTCAGAGACCTTGAGGCTTACCTGTGATGTTTTTCAAACGTAGGTGGTTAGTCTTGTCCTCTTAAGCTATTTCCTTCCAGCCATAGAAAAAGATGCATTTAAATAATAAATGACTTTATTTATAGACTGAAATGCTTCTAATGAGCATTATTAAAACCCTGAGTTTCTGAGTTTATTTAAGGCAGTTTGAGGCACTACTAGGCTTCTCTTTAAATAACTAACTTAGAGCAGTCAGTCAAGGAAATCAGACAACAGTCTTGCTGAAGCTCAGCTCAGTGGTGACATATATCTGTTCAGATGGCTTTATAGACTTAGAAAGAAGCGTGCACAGCCATCACGTAACAGATGTGATCATGTCCATAGGGGCGTGAGGGATCCTACTTGCCATTCAGTAGGAGTGTTAAACCCCACTTTCAGCTTGCAGCTTTGAGCGTTCTGAGCATGCATTACAAGTTGGGGTATTCTCAAGGTGTGAGGAGGCCATTTCAGAGAGTCTTGTTCTGTTTTCTCCAAAAGGTAGAAGTTAATGAGGAAGAGAGTTCTCTTTTCCTAGTCAAACATCTTGGAGAGAATTCAGTCTTTTTTAGACTCAGTGAAAATGCCTAGTGGAAAAGAGAGAAAAATTTCAGGAGCGGTCCTCTCCCTCTTTTCTGAGCAGTATGTATATCCCAGTCCAGGGAAGAGAGCACTAAGATTTTTCAAGCATATTTTGAGACTTGTGAAAATTGTTTCTAAGCGTTCCTTTGGAATGCAAGTTGAGGTTCTGGTTTTAGTTGATATCGTTAGTGATGAAAAGCAAGAAATGGCTTGGATTTGTGCCTTTGGTGAAACAGGGAGGACGCCAGAACACGCTCTGGGCAAAACTGCAAAATCAGATGGATTCCACATCCAGCTCGCAACCAGAAAAGGAGGCCTTAGAGAGAGTGTGGCTGCCAGGAAAGAAAACTGCTTTATTGAAAGGTTAATTTTCAGATTAGTTTTGGGGAATTTGAGATAAATAAATGAGATCAGACAAAAAAAACATAAGGCCTGGATCCTTTCTCCTGGGGTTTGCTGAAAATAGTCATTGCTTCCAATACAATGTTTTGACATTTTCAGTAGGGAAAAATGTTAATTGTAACGTTGTGTGTATGTGTTCTTAAAAACACTTGCAAATAAATCTTTGTTTTAAGAGTAATGAGAGTGTAAAAAGACTGTTGAAATGTTAGCTGTATTCTTTATTTCCTATAGAAACTTTAATGCTTCATAGGATGTTTCAACTCATTTTCCAAGTTCAAATATATCATTTAGACCATTCCTTTCCTTGTTTTATAGCTCAGTTCCAGTATCCTGGGTACACTTTTTGTTTTTGGACAGGATCTTTCTGTGTAGCCTGAGCTAGCCTGGAACCCACAAGTTTCCTGCCTCAGCCTCCCAAATGCTGGGAATATAGTTGTGTGCCACCTTACCAAGTTGTCTGGGAGTCTTACTATTAAACTTCCCACATGGGTCCCATTGGTTCTCCTCTCTCATTTCAACTCCTCTTTTGCTTATTTGCTAAGTCAATGGCCCCTTTATTACATTTATAAAAAATCTCATCACTCAAGGACCACACAAGATGGTTCACCTGTCTTTGTACATTGAATTTACCAGGAGAAAGAGAAGGAACTGATGTCACCATCTAGGACCCATGAGTGTACCCACACACACACACACACTAGCCACCATCCACAGAGAGAAAACATCATTAATAATCATCTTAGAAGTGTTGACAGTCTAATTTGATATTTGTAATCTTCTTAGTTAAAAGATGTGATGATTCTTATAAAAATCCCTTTTGGATCACTATTTTCAAATGCCACAGTGGGAATACTACTTAAATCACACTAAAGCTTGAAAATAATTTCAAAGACAGATTTGAATGGAAATAAAACAGATGTACAAAATTGTCCACACACTACAGATGTGAGCATTCTTTAGCACACACAGAATAGAAAAACTGCTATAAGAAAAGGCTATTCATCATGGAGGTTCATTAACACACTCTCTCAAGCATAAAGACAGTAAGTTCAAGTTTTAGGTCTTAGGTAGATCAGTGCTAACAATGTAGAAAATTATCAGGGCAAGGAACAAATAGAACACTTGACACCAGCAGCATTTTCAAATGTGGCTAGTGGGACCCATGTGTCATGGGAAGATGGTTGGATCTATTAAAAGCCAGTTGGCAATATTCAACAACAGAACCATCCAGTAATGTTTATACAGCTAGATTAATGTTTCATCAGGCTCATTACTACTGGATTTTCTCTGGTTCATGCTAATAAACTAGATTATTGATTTTAGGATTGTCTGTGTATCCAAGGATATTCTTTAAGATGTCATCAGAATGTTTCATGCTTAAGTTGTCAACCATAATGACATAACAATGAGTAATCATTTTCTAATCATGTTGAAAGGGGCTGAAACCCTTGTGTAAAATGACTCTTCCCAGCTGCAGAGTAATAGGAACAATCTCTCTGTCACTGCCCTATCTGGGTGGAGGCCATTCCTACCTGCCTTGCATCTTCCCCAGGAATTAGCTGCGTGCACAGCTTAAGACCTTTACAGTCATAAATCTGCTTTCCACTGTGTTTGAATGGCAGGAGAGCTCAAAAGACACCTCCGTCTGAGAAGGATTTTAGCACATCAGGTGCTCTTCCAAAGTGAAGCAGGCTAGGTTGCCGGGTTGGTGATGTGGTTATTCATATTCTCTGTCCTTTCATGTGTATGTATGCTTGCCGGTGTACATGCCCCTGCTCACAGGACGCTGGGAGCTGGTGAATGCGTGCGTAGAGTGTGTGTATATGTAAAGTAGAAACTGAACCAGGATAACAAAATGAACTACTGTATGCAAGAAATGTATGAAGTGCACCCGGCAGCCAGCAGCAACTGCTACATGCAGGCCACTGACTGCTACACGGATTTGGAAGACAGTCCTGGCTACAGTGGTGGTGATGCTCAGACGGTGCCCAATAACAACATATATATGGAACAGGCCTGGGCAGTGAACCAGCCTTTTACCTGTAGTTACCCTGGAAACATGTTTAAAAGCAAGGACTCTGACTTGGACATGGCCCTGAATCAATACAGCCATCCTGAACATTTCCCTGAAGAAAAGCCTACTCTTCCTCAAGTGCAGTCGCCATCATACTCTCAAAAAAAAGGTAGGGACCATTTTGCTTAAATTTGTTCAGAGTTCCAGTGTGATTTCTGTTTTGTTTTCAAGTTCATTCACATCTGGTTCTTCAAATCTTTGAATTTGAATGTTGAAAATTGGAAATTAAAAACAGTAGGAGAGGTTGCTAGGTGATTAAAGGACTCTGTTGAGCACAAAGATTTCCAAGCGCCTTCTTGCTTCGTGTATGAAAGCTGGATGGCGCGGGTTTTCTAGGCTGTATGAGGAATGTCTGGATCCAGGGACAGATAAAGTGGCCATTATTGGTTTCTCTGCTTAAGAAAAAAATGTGAAAGCTTTCCCCTTGGTGTGGTAGTATTTATGGAGGGATAATTCTTCCCAGTTCAAATGCAACCCAAAAATTCGTTTTCACTTTTTCTCGGCACTGAATATTGAAAGTTTATTTTAGTTAACTAGCAAGTAGTTTAGTGATTTCTTTGATAGTACTATAATGTTGATACGCTAGGATTTGTAAAAGTTCTTTTGAATATAATTTATTTATTCATAAACTGTAAAGAAGCTATTTATAATCACATAAAGCAGTAAGAGCACAAAATTCAAACAGAAACATATATTACCTTGACAATGGGTCTCTAAAATGTAGCAGTTCTAAAATGATGTTGAATCAGCTTGCTATATAAAAGCAAGTGAAACAACTTTTAAAATATCCAATACTAAAACAAGTGTAATATTCATTTATCTTAATAGACATAATACTTAATTTCTTATCAATAGAACATTTCTAATATTACCAAAAGATAAAATAAAATGTAGTACTAAGGGGACTTAGCAGCATCTGCCAGATAGAAATGCTTTTTAAATAGTTTAAATTCTGTGCAGATATGCTCCAAACTCATTTTTTCTGTATGATCTATAAGTCATTGCATAGAGAACCAAATTTACAGGTTTCTATAATTTGCAAGAACATGATGCCCTTTGATCTTAAAGGTAAATTTCTCTATGAAATTAATGAAGTGAATCTTAAAACATAATGTGGATTATTTCATTGAAGTCCTATAAAATTATCATTTGCTTTTCTTACTGTGACTGTGATTAGGGTAGCCTGCTAAGTAAACAAATAAACATTTCAAAACAAAAATCTTTGTTAAATTTTTACTCTAAGTAAAAAGTGTATATTATCCTAAGTAATTTATCAAAAAAGAAGGAATTAACACTGCCTCATTAGACATGCCTGGATATGCCTTTAGTAAGTGTTGCAGGATCACAAGAAAATATTGTTGTCTAGCTCTCTGGTATTCTACTGTTCTTAAAAATCTTGCACAACTTTTCAGGCTCTTTTCCTTTTTTGTCTTTTTATTCTGTTTTCTCTGACTGATACTGAGGAATATTTGCTTACAAAATATGAACCTAGGGGTTCTTTACTAAGTAATTTAATGAACAGCTAGAGGAAAAGACATATCGTATGCATATATTGATGTAATTTCTCAAAGACATATGCCATTGAAAGGCCACTGCCACCTGCTAAACTCACTAAATCAAAGCAAGCAAATATTATTAAATGCACCATTGCTTACTGCTATAAGTCTTCGAGTAAATCCCAGAAAAACTAAACCCAGCTGGTAACTGTCTCTTAGGACAAAACATGTTTATCCAGATCGATCCACTATTGATTTTTGCTGTTGTTGGAAGACATAAGTAGTGTGTCATTAAGGCAAAATTAAAACTAAAAACAGGTGTTCACTGGGGCAGGCCTCATTTTCCAATTGGATTTTTATCTGTTTTCATGAAATTTATAAATACTGTATTTTATTGGTGTCACTACAGCAACAATAATCTTCAATAATGCAGTTGGCATAACTTTCTATTTTTAAGAGATAGTTTATTCTCTAGCCTTTAATAGGAGTTTTTGAATAGGTAGAGAGTTACCATAATCTTTTTTTATAAAAGTTATGATAGGTACACATTGATGAAAAGGGGCAATAAGAATGGTAGACTTACCAGCACGGGAGAATATCTGCTTGTAAATCATGGAACCAAAGATGACTTAATGGATCAACTTTTGAGTGACTTTTAGTTTTCTTTGCATTGTTCACGTTTTTGCATTTGTAGCCAAGAACAAAAAGATGTTTTCAAACTCCCAAGGCACTGAGAACATGAACCAAGGAAGAGTCTGACTTCAGCTCCATGAATTCCATTCAAAGTAAAACTACAGGAATTAGGGGTGGATGTCAATGTAATTTTCACATTGAGCAAAGCTACAATGCAGAATATATATTGTCTGATTTTTCCTAAGGAATATGAGAAAACAAAAAGATGTTGTTTTGGTTTTTTGTGATAGGGCCTCACTGTCTTATTTAGCTCAGATTGGCCTCCAGCTGATGACCTTTTCTCTCTCAAGTTACTGGGATTGAAGTGTGTGCCACCATACCTGGCAAGAACATAAATTTTTATTTTAAAAAGTTAAGAACACAAACAAACAAACAAAAAAATTAAGGACAAATAAAAGGAACCCTACCAGTCACTCACAAGGCGGCATGGCTTCTTTATTAACTATCTTCCAAGTGATACAGTTATAAAGTGTTTTGTTCAAACCAGTCATCACAGCCAGGTCTAATTACACACTTCTGGACCCACACCCATTCAGAGGAATGAGGGAAAATCAGATGGAGGAGAACTGGCAGCCAGGACTTTGTGCCTTCTCCTTTGGGCATGTAGTTTGGGTAGTTAAAAATTAACATCACTTTTTTCTTTTATGTTTTGGCTGGCTATTTCCAGCAGAAATTCCTATTGTGTTCTAAAGTCCTAAAACAACTTGCTTCTGGCTGCACTGAAGGCAGCTTTGCCAGTCAGCCTCTTGGTCCACTTACACAGAATCTTTCCCAGGAGTCTGCGCTGGGCAGCTCTCCTTCACAGAGTTCATTGCATGACCTTCAGCACGCCATCTTTATAGGAACTGCATGTTCAGAAGTTTGCTGTAGTGTTTGCATCAGAGTTGGTTATCAGTCCAAAAGATTAAGAATTTCCAGGTTTTGAGCCATGATCAAGGAGATGGGTGTGTCTGTTCTGTTTTGTTCTTCTTTTTAATTATAAGTGTTCTTGCTCTACAGGTCACAGTGTTAGTTCTACAGAAAGAAAACTTAATAAGTAAAGCAAAAATCCCATATAGAACTGTACTTTGTGAATCCACTTTTATTGATGCTCTGTCTCCAAGTCAGGATTTAGGCTTTTTTTCATATTCTGTTAACTCCATGTGACATTAGAAATGGAAATTAAATGGCAAATCAGGAGTTGTTTGAAGTGACCCATATCAAGAGGATTGGATTAAAAAGAAGACTTAAGACTCCAAAGGATAGAATATCTCATTAGCATTTTTTGACCTCTTCTTAAGTTAAGAAAGGATTGGTATACAATAGAGTTGGGGTTGGAGGGGCTCCAAAATCTGCCCCACCGAAAAAGTGACATGATCAACAGGTACTGGTTATTTTTTAAATTTTTATTGTTTTATTATTCATATGTGCATACAATGCTTGGGTCATTTCTCCCCCCTGCCCCCACCCCCTCCCTTACCACCCACTCCGCCCCCTCCCCCTCCCCCCCCACCCCCTCTATACCCGGCAGAAACTATTTTGCCCTTGTCTCTAATTTTGTTGAAGAGAGAGTATAAGCAATAATAGGAAGGAACAAGTGTTTTTGCTAGTTGAGATAAGGATAGCTATACAGGGAGTTGACTCACATTAATTTCCTGTGCGTGTGTGTTACCCTCTAAGTTAATTCTTTTGATCTAACCTTTTCTCTAGTCCCTGGTCCCCTTCTCCTATAGGCCTCAGTTGCTTTTAAGGTATCTGCTTTAGTTTCTCTGCGTTGAGGGCAACAAATGCTAGCTAATTTTTTGGGTGTCTTACCTATCCTCACCCCTCCCTTGTGTGCTTTCGCTTTTATCATGTGCTCAAAGTCCAATCCCCTTGTTGTGTTTGCCCTTGATCTAATGTCCGCATATGAGGGAGAACATACGATTTTTGGTCTTTTGGGCCAGGCTAACCTCACTCAGAATGATGTTCTCCAATTCCACCCATTTACCAACGAATGATAACATTTCGTTCTTCTTCATGGCTGCATAAAATTCCATTGTGTATAAATACCACATTTTCTTGATCCATTTGTCAGTAGTGGGGCATCTTGGCTATTTCCATAACTTGGCTATTGTGAATAGTGCCGCAATAAACATGGACGTGCAGGTGCCTCTGGAGTAACCTGTGTCACAGTCTTTTGGGTATATCCCCAAGAGTGGTATTGCTGGATCAAATGGTAGGTCAATGTTTAGCCTTTTAAGTAGCATCCAAATTTTTATCCAGAGTGTTGTACTAGTTTACATTCCCACCAACAGTGTAAGAGGGTTCCTTTTTCCCGCATCCTCGCCAACACCCAACAGGTACTGTTAAATGCTACAGTCACTCCCAGTCTCAGGAAAAGAAGGCAGGACAGGAAACAAAAAGGATGATTCATGAATTCCGTTACAAGAATAGCTTGCAACCAGAAACTTGAATGTAAGATGATCACATTATTTTAGTTTTTCTTCCCCAGACTCTGCCTCCCTTCTTTCTTCCTTCCTTCTTCTCTCTCTCCCCCTCCTTCCCCTCCAGGGCTCTCCCTCTCTTCCTCTTTTTTCCCCTCTCTCATCCTGCCTCTTCCCTCCAGTTGAACTTGCTTAACTGACACACAGATGTAATCAGTGCTCCCAGTGAACTGCTGAGTGGGTACAGACATCATCTCTTCAAAATGTAACTGCTGAAGTGGTTAATATGATTGCAGACTTTTCTACGGATGCTGAAGTAAAGTTTGCCTTTTACATTAGGCACTGCCATCCATATCCTATTAAGAGACAATACTACTCCAGAAAATGATACCACCATTCTTTAAAAAACACTGAACACATTTCTGTTCACATGATTAAATGAAAGTGCATCTCAGCACACGAAAATGGAAGCTCAGTAAGGAGCAACGATAGTTTCCAAAACAACTTCAAGCACA